ATTACCATTTGTTTGTATGGGGGAGTATACCAAATTATTTTTCTACATCTGTTTTTTCTATGCTTTCCATTTTCATTTTTTCTATAAGTTAGTTTTGGGTTTTTGTAGCCACTCTCTTTTAGAGCCTTATTAAAATCGAAAATCTTGTCATTTGCTGAATTTGTACTAATTCGTTTACTGATAGATAACGGTATATGTTTAATTATAGATGGGGGGGGTGATTTGATTTAGGGTGTATATATAAAGGATTGGTGTTGGGTTTTTATAAGGTGTGTATGTATTTTTATTTAGATCTAATGTTATATCAAGGAAGTCCACTTTTTTTAAATTAGGGCTAACTGTAATTTTTAAACCCATGCTTTTAAATTCTTTATATAATACCTTTCAAATTCTATCTATTTTGAAGTTAGTTGAGTTTCTAATAACCATAAGTCCATCGTCTCTGTACAAACCAATGTCATTTATATTAATATCATAGTGCACTGTAAGGTTGTATAATATAAAAAGACCAATGAGATCAAAAGACTCAGCTGAGTCTAGTGATCCCATTGTGATGTCAAAGTGGTCATAAGAATACTTAATTCTTTAATGTGTAAAGATGTTTTACCCCCACCATATTAATTCTGTTATTTACCATTTCAAATGTAGTTGTGGATGTGACTACATAGGTAGAATGACACAGCGGTTGGACGTTAGAATTAAACAACACGTACCTGCTACAATACTGAATAAAAATTTTTCATTGGGCGATACCATTCGTAACACGTGTGGTTCTTTGATTGCGGATCACTTTATAAAGAATCCCACTTGTGCGATGGATTTCAGTGGTTTTCTGTCTTGGCCAGAGCACACTCATTATTCCATCTTAAGGTGTTGGAGACGCTGTACATCAGGGCCAGGTGACCTGCTCTTTGTAATCAAAAAGATTGTTTGCTTGGACTTGCTGTGCTACACTTCTAGCATCTTTGTTGGTATAATTTTTATAATTATTTTTTTTTTTCTCCCTGTCCATTCATTCACATCATCCATGACAGACTTTCTTTTTTTTTTCTCTTCATAATTTGTGTTCCCCGTTAACAGTTCTGATGAGAGGGGAGGAAATCGGTTGACTGGTGTCTGTTTTTGTTTTTATTTTAAATCTATCATGGCTTATAATATAACATTTCTTGCTTTTTATGCCATAATAAATATATATGTATGTGTGTTTGCGTATGTAGGTGGTTTTTATATGTATATGTTTGTGTATATATGTATATTTATGTGTGTGTGTGTGCGTGTATATTTATGTGCGTGTATATTTATGTGCATGTATATTTATGTGCTTGTGTGCGTATATATTTATGTGCGTGTGTGTTTGCTTGTATATTTATGTGCATGTGTGCATGTATATTTATGTTTGCATGTGTGTGCATGTATATTTGTTTGCATGTGTGTGCATGTATATTTATGTTTGCATGTGTGTGTGTGTGTGCATGTATATTTATGTGTGTGTGTGTGTGTGTGCATGTATATTTATGTTTGCGAGTGTGTGTGTGCATGTATATTTATGTTTGCGTGTGTACATATGTATATTTATGTTTGCGTGTGTTTGTATATATGTATATTTATGTTTGTGTGTGAGTGTACATATGTATATTTATGTTTGTGTGTGAGTGTACATATGTATATTTATGTTTGTGTTTGCGTGTATGTACATATGCATATTTATGTTTGTGTTTGCGTGTATGTACATATGCATATTTATGTTTGTGTTTGCGTGTATGTACATATGCATATTTATGTTTGTGCGTGTATGTACATATGCATATTTATGTTTGTGTGTGCGTGTATGTACATATGCATATTTATGTTTGTGTATATGCATATTTATGTTTGTGTGTGTATATGTATATTTATGTTTGCGTGTGTGTGCATGTATATTTATGTTTGCGTTTGTGTGTACATATGTATATTTATGTTTGTGTGTACATATGTATATTTATGTTTGCGTGTACATATGTATATTTATGTTTGCGTGTACATATGTATATTTATGTTTGTGTGTGCGTGTATATGTATATTTATGTTTGTGTGTATATGTATATTTATGTTTGTGTGTATATTTGTGTTTGCGTGTGTATATATGTTTGTGCATGTATGTATATTTGTGTTTGTTAGTGTGTGTATGTATGTGTGTTTATGTATGTGTGTATGTATGTGTGTGAGTGTGTGTGTGTGTTTATGTGTGTGTGTGTGTTTATGTGTGTGTGTTTGTATGTGTTTGTGTTTGTATATTTATGTATGTCTGTGTGTATATGTATATATGTATGTCTGTGTGTATATGTATATATGTATGTCTGTGTGTGTGTATGTATATATGTGTGTATGTATGTTTGTGTGTAAGTATGTATATATGTCTATGTATATATGTATGTGTGTGTATATATGTATGTGTATGTATGTATGTTTGTGTGTATGTATGTGTGTATGTATGTATGTTTGTGTATGTATATATGTGTATGTATGTATATATGTGTATGTATGTATGTGTATGTATGTATTATGTATATATGTATGTTTGTGTGTGCGTGTATATATGTATGTTTGTGTGTGCGTGTATATATTTATGATTTTGTGCATGTGTGTATGCATATTTGTTTGTGTATGTGTGTTTGTGTTTGTATATATTTTTGTTTGCATGTATGTATATTTGTGTATGTATGTATATTTGTGTTTGTATGTATGTGTTTTTGTGTGTGTATGTATATTTGTGTTTTTGTGTGTGTATATATATATATATATATATATATATGTTTTTGTGTGTGTATGTATATTTGTGTTTGATTGTGTGTGTATGTATAATGTATATTTATGTTTGATTGTGTGTGTATGTATATTTATGTTTGATTGTGTGTGTTTGTATATATTTTTTCTGTTTGATTGTGTGTGTTTGTATGTATATTTGTTTGATTGTGTGTGTTTGTATGTATATTTGTTTGTGTGTGTTTGTATATTTATGTTTGTGTGTGTTTGTATATGTGTGTATATATATATATATATATATATATTTATTTATTTACTTTTTTATGTTGCTGTATAGGTTGATATATGTATTTCTTTATGTGTATATATGTGTTTACATGTACGTGTGTATATATATATATATGGGTATATGTTTGTGCATAGGTATACTTTTGTATGTTTATATCTGTAATGAAGAATGTGTACACATTTGTCTATGTGTATTTTTTACTTACTTTCACATATTGTTATATCTTTGTACTCATGTATGTGTACTAATACGATATAAGTATATATATGAGATATTTATATATATTTACATGTTTATGAGTTTTCTTTTTTATATATTAGATGGTGTTATTTTTATGCATATATATCTATCTATTTTTCTGTCCATTTCTGTATATTTTTTTGTCCTTTTTCCTTATGTTGTTCTTTGACGAATATTTGTTTTTCTATTCTACGAATATTAAACCTTATCTATTCAACCATTTTTATCTATATATATTTGCCCGTATAAGTTATATTTTAATTGTATTTTAGAATTCGTTTAATAACACTTTCAAATTTGAATATTTCTCGGTGGGTATATGTGCCATCAATGTATATGTGTATAATCATTTATATGTGCCTTTCATTGTATGTATGTTTTGTTTTTTGTTTTTTTTTTGTTTTTTGTTTTTTTTTTTTTTTTTAAGGGCCATGGACATATTTCATGTCTCATTACTTTTTCGCATGTTTATATATCTAAATATGTCTGCGTGTTTGTGTATTATAATTAGATTGTGTGTATTGTCTTTTTCATGACTTCACCATCCCTAACCAAATATCTTCCATTCGAATGTATCTAAGTCGTAAACGAGTTCAGAGCAGTATTAGATCTTACTTAACGATTATTCCAACTTAATTTCATTAAATAAATAAAAAATAAGTAAAAAACATGTTTTTTTTGTCCTCGGTTTCTTCTTTAAATAATTTTATAATTTTAAACTTAATATAGATTAAATTTAAAATTGGTAATTTTTGATATTGAATTTTATAGTACAATTTAATATTAATTAGTTAGAATGAATTCTATTTTAGTCTAACCCTAACATTAAAGCATTAAATAATTATTATGACCTTAAAGTCCGTTGTCAAATTTTTTGAATTCTCATATACTTGTATTTTGATTGGTCATTCCAGCTTATGTAACAGCGCTTCCCCTTGCAAGGGATGTTTGATTGATTTGGACCTTTTAAAAACCCTTGAGAAGACATCAGATGTGTTGACACAAAATGGCTATTTTTGTAGTGATTTTATAACATTTTTATGTTATAATTTTCGAATAAATGATTGCATTTGCCCTACTCTGTATTGATCACTCTTTTAAGAATAGTATTTGTTGATTATTGGAATTTATTCCATATACACCAATCCTATACTTGGGTATATATATATATATATATATATATATATATATAGGAAAGAACTTGTTAGGTAAATAATCCAAAGTTCTTTAGTATTTTTGTTATTATTTTTAAAAAATAATGCTTGATACAAAAATAGAGCATAAATATAACTATTTATTTAAAAATATGATTCCAATGCTACATAAGAGGTCTCATGTTTCAAAACAAGAGCTGAAAACTTCGATATAATTATTTGAATTAAATTGAATTAAAGTAACAAGCTCTGTTCCATCTTCAAGTGAATTGTTTTTTTTTTTTTGGAATAACTTATTCCTGATATATATATATATGTGTGTGTAAACTGGAAAGTAAGAAAACAAAAAATATTTTATTTATTTCCCCCCTTTCTTGGCAACTTGCAAATCAACCTTTTGTCTGTGATTAAACAGGCTATATATATATATATATATATATATATATATATGAATTTGTTTTTCCTGGAACTATTTGTGAACATGAAACACTTGAAATGGAATCTACTAATAGTACAATTTGAACCTCAAACTAATGAAAGGAAAATGAATGTTAATAAAATGATTTCATTCCCAGATATGGCCACTTTATTCAGGGTGCAGGATCTGCCATACAAATGGCTTTTGATAGTCAGGTAAGTCAATCTTAAGATTTCTTTCTTTTTTTTTTCTTGTTTTAAAACAAGAAACATGATGATATTAGTTTCACATACATTAACCTGTTAATAAGGCAATGAGGAGGAATTCATTCATTTTAATTTCAATTTTAATAAATTGTTAAGTGTGTGTAAATATCCTGAAAGTGTTTATCTAAAATGTAAGACTGAAAATCTTCTTTCGAACATCTTCCCTTCAAATTCCCCCCTCTCCCCTCTTTATTTTTCTCCTCTTCCTCCTTCTTTCTCCTCTTAAGAGCACAGTTCAAATTCCATTATATTATATATGTACAAATACCATTGGGAAAGATATCAATTCATCTCCTTGTCTCCCTCTACCTATAATTTAATAAATTAGTCAGACTAGGCTGTTTAACTTTGGTTGGCAGTCAGTCTAGGAGAAAGACTTGGAGATGTTGAAGTACACAATGTACACCAATTGTCTGTATTCAGTTCTTTAAAAAAATGTGATTGGTTCTGCACAAGATTGCACTGTAGTTTGGCAGTTAAGTTCTAAGAACTTGGTTGCTAAACTCTCAAACAACAAAAATGATAGGAGACGTGTGTTTCTTGGAATTAATATATTGCTTGTTGATGAATTTTGGGCATTATTTCTTCCATGATCAGTAGTAATAATATTGGGTTAAATTTATTATTTATTTTTCACTAGTATTTCTTTCATCTTATTTCTCTTGCTTTTCCACCAAGTAGTAATAGTCTTAAGTTGTCTGAATTTCTTAGATGAAGCCTTGTCAATTATTATTCATTTTTTATTATTTCTTTCATCATTTTTCACTAGTAATAGTCTTAAGTTTCTGAATTTCTTAGATCTTGTCAATTATTATTCATTTTTCACTAGTATTTCTTTCATCTTATTTCTCTTGCTTTTCCACCAAGTAGTAATAGTCTTAAGTTGTCTGAATTTCTTAGATGAAGCCTTGTCAATTATTATTCATTTTCACTAGTATTTCTTTCATCTTATTTCTCTTGCTTTTCCACCAATTCTTGCTTTTCCACCAAGTAGTAATAGTCTTAAGTTGTCTGAATTTCTTAGATGAAGCCTTGTCAATTATTATTCATTTTCACTAGTATTTCTTTCATCTTATTTCTCTTGCTTTTCCACCAAGTAGTAATAGTCTTAAGTTGTCTGAATTTCTTAGATGAAGCCTTGTCAATTATTATTCATTTTTCACTAGTATTTCTTTCATCTTATTTCTCTTGCTTTTCCACCAAGTAGTAATAGTCTTAAGTTGTCTGAATTTCTTAGATGAAGCCTTGTCAATTATTATTCATTTTTCACTAGTATTTCTTTCATCTTATTTCTCTTGCTTTTCCACCAAGTAGTAATAGTCTTAAGTTGTTGAATTTCTTAGATGAATTTCAATTATTATTCATTTTTAGATATTTCTTTCATCTTGTCAATAATATTATTCATTTTTTTATTCATTTAGTATATTTCTTTCATCTTATTTCTCTTGCTTTTCCACCAAGTAGTAATAGTCTTAAGTTGTCTGAATTTCTTAGATGAAGCCTTGTCAATTATTATTCATTTTTCACTAGTATTTCTTTTTCATCTTATTTCTCTTGCTTTTCCACCAAGTAGTAATAGTCTTAAGTTGTCTGAATTTCTTAGATGAAGCCTTGTCAATTATTATTCATTTTCACTAGTATTTCTTTCATCTTATTTCTCTTGCTTTTCCACCAAGTAATAATAGTCTTAAATTGTCTGAATTTCTTAGATGAAGCCTTGTCAATTATTATTCATTTTTCACTAGTATTTCTTTCATCTTATTTCTCTTGCTTTTCCACCAAGTAATAATAGTCTTAAGTTGTCTGAATTTTGATCTGTCAATTATTATTCATTTTTTAGTATTTCTTTCATCTTATTTCTCTTGTCAATTAGTTATTCTGAATTTTTTGAACTTGTCAATTATTTTCATTTTCACTAGTATTTTTTCATCTTATTTCTCTTGCTTTTTTCCACCAAGTAGTAATAGTCTTAAGTTGTCTGAATTTCTTAGATGAAGCCTTGTCAATTATTATTCATTTTCACTAGTATTTCTTTTTTCATCTTATTTCTCTTGCTTTTCCACCAAGTAGTAATAGTCTTAAGTTGTCTGAATTTCTTAGATGAAGCCTTGTCAATTATTATTCATTTTTCACTAGTATTTCTTTCATCTTATTTCTCTTGCTTTTCCACCAAGTAATAATAGTCTTAAATTGTCTGAATTTCTTAGATGAAGCCTTGTCAATTATTATTCATTTTTCACTAGTATTTCTTTCATCTTATTTCTCTTGCTTTTCCACCAAGTAGTAATAGTCTTAAGTTGTCTGAATTTCTTAGTTGAAGCCTTGGCAATTATTAATTTTCGGAGGGATTTCTTATTTGTCATCCACAAATGGCTAAATGAAATTAAAATGAAAGAAAAACCAGATTTGTTTTCTTATAAAAACATTTTTTCAGTGTCTATAAGAATTTCCTAATATTATTACATGCAGACTTATTGTTATCACCACATTGTAGCAAAAATCGTGGAGTGGGGGTGGGGGGGATAACTTTTCTTGTTTTTGTTTGTTTTTACTTTTGTTTTTTTTTTGTTTTTTCAGGTTGGCTAAAGTTTTTTTTTCTCTCTCTGCTCTATTTTTTGTTTTTACAAGACTTTTTAAATTTTTTTTTATTATTTCAAATTTTGTAAATTTTTTCTTTTTATATCTTTTACATACCATTTTTTGCATTTTTTTTCTTTTACACATTTATTCTGCCGTCTATGTTACAATAAGTCTTTTTCTTTCTTTCCAAGCCACTCTTTCATAAATGTAGAATCGAGTAACTTCAGACAAAACAATCCTAATAAAAAAGTCAAAAAAAGGAAATGATTTCATCTGAAGACAACAAAGATTTATAATTTAAAAATTATTTTTTGTTTTTTGTCACTTTCTTCCTCGCCAATCTTTCTCTGAAATTCCAATCTTTTGAAGAATATGGCAAATTCAATGAAAGATGAGGAATTTCCGGCAGTCAATGATTGCAGCTGTTCTACCGCATCCAGAAAATCCAAGTCTGTTAATTGCTTGCTGCTGTTCCGTGAACCAATTAGAAAAAAAGAAAGGCGGCACTTTACTTTATATTCCTGTAATTAATTCTTAAAGAGATTGGATCATAATAAGATGTTCTAGCATTCTTCTCCTTCTCCCTCTCCCCAATCTGAATTTACCGTTTCCAATGTCTGAACAATAAATATTATGATTTGTTGCATTGTTTTTTGTTTTTTATTTTTCTCCCAGTTTCATGGTTCATAGAAATTCTGTGGTGTTTTTTTGTTGTTTATTTTTTTAACTTTGTAACAAGAACATTTTAGTAATTTTTACTAAACATAAAAATCTTATTTATAGTTTTAAAATTGCAGCTTTTGGAATTAATTTATGAAAATCTATAATTAATTTTTTTTCATTATTCCATTTTCAGTTTGTTTTTCTTGTTTTGTTTTCACTTTGTTTTCAAATTCCTTTTAGACATCCTTTTTACAAGGCCCTCAATTACAACTTATCTATGGGAAAAATTGAAATAGTGTGTTAAAAACAACAAAGATAAAGATAATAGTCCAAAAATATGTTATAATTAAAATAGTCCATCTTAGAAGCTAAGACAAGAAGGCTGAAGAATCCATCAAGTGAAATGGTCTGATGAAAAAAAATAAAAAAGATGAAGATAATAGTCCAAAAATATCTGGAATAACGAAAATAGTCACTTTTAGAACTTCAGACCAATCAGGAAGGCTGGAGAATCCATCAAGTGAAATGCTGTGTTAAAAACAACAAAGATAAAGATAATAGTCCAAAAATATCTGCAACCTTAGGCAATACAGGAAGGTTATATTATCTATCAGTCTGTGCACTCAAGAAATTTCAATTAAGAAAATTTGCTTTCCCTCAGAGGGAAAATAGAGGCTTGATGTACTGTGACACTCTTTGTGGTCGAGCGATTAAGCAGACCACATCAAACAGTAGTTTCTCCCTACAAAGGGGGACACAGGCTCATTTCCTGCTGAAAAGCAAGTTTTTCTTTTAATAAGATTTCTCAAGTCCAAGAGCCAATTGGCGTAATACCCACTATTTAAAGTAAAAATAAAAATAGGGTATGTATTTCAAATATGAGTGGCCATTATAATAATGTTTGAAGTAATAAAAATGTCTGATTTAAAAAAAGTAATCATTAATTCTTTTTATATATCTATCTCCTAAACAATATCTAAAAATCCCCACCCCCCACTACATACATTAGTCATACCACTACAACCCTTTCCTACTGTCTTACATACCATCTGTAAAGGTACGAAAATAATTGTATATATATTTCATCGATGTGAAGTGAGAACGAACAGAATCCAATTGCAATGTTCATAACATTCAATTCAAAAGAGAGCTCATTACAAAAGTAGAACAATATTCTTCATTTTAGTATATTATATCAAAAAATGAAAAAAAAAAAAAAAAAAAATACCTGTGTTTTTTTTTTTTTTACATGTTATGATGTAATATCCTAAAATAAAATGTATGTATGTATGAATGTATGTATGTATGTATGTATGTATGTATGTATGTATGTAATCAATCAATCAATCAATCAATCAATGGACTGTTTCACTGTATAACAGCTCATCAGTGAGACTAGACATCTGATTGCCTCAAGCCAGGATCTTGACATCAGCCAGAGATTTTATCCTTGAGCTATCAGTGCCCGGTAAAGAAGGAGGCAGATTTTTAGATACTTAGTCTTTGAATAAACACACCAATGACCAGGAGGGCTCAATTCATAGAAGAGCTTTGCAGTATTAGCAGTAGTTTTGTGTGTAATATATATATATGGATGGTTTGAGTGTGCATGTATTATACTGAGATCCTTTGATAAAATAAAGTAGACCCATAACAAACATATTTTTTTTTTGTAAAGCTGAATGTGATTGAATAGACGCTATCAT